TCCCCGCCGAAAAACTGTGAGGGAAATCTTCATAATTATTGGAGCAATCAGTCTGAACAGTAGGAAATTGTATGAATTTTCTTAATATAGATACACATGCTATGCTGGATAGTCATGCTTAAGTGAGCACGCCTAAAGGACCTAGGATCATTGCAAGGAGGACAGCCCCTAACCTGAAGAATAAAGGATACCCCTGGATGCCCAAGGTAACATTGGCATCCCAGCTCTGCTGACACCTTTGGGAACCCCCCACCCTATTATCCAGCATCACATACATGTATCTGCAGCAAGACTAACTCCAGGGACATTTAGATCAGGAAAGAAGCAGATAGATCATGATGTCATAAAATTATAGTTCCTTTCGAATACAGTGGCCTGTGTGTTACTTAGGGATGGGTCAAATCATGCTGTTTGAATGCTTGAAAGGTAAAGGAACAGGGTGTAAAAGTACATTCGGGATGCCTGAACGTAATCAGACACCTCAGGCACATGATTAAAGATTTACCCTTGTGATTCTACACTTTGCATCCCAAGCTCCCTCCTCCATCAGCATGGGCCAATTGCAAAATTTCCGTGGTGAAACACAGCTGGCGGTGCTCAGAGGTCGAGGGGGGGCTGCAGTGGGAACTGCTGGGCTCAGGAGAGCTGTGTGTAGGGAGCTGTGGTACCTCTAAGTAAATTTACTGGTGCAGTTGATCCTACGGGCCCAGACACGTGTCCTGTGTTTCCAGAACTTGTTATTGTAATTCTCCCCCAGGCTCCAGGAGGTAGGGCCAAATGTTAAGGAATGTGGAAATTCGCTGCGTTTAATAATTGTGAATTGGGCTGCGAGCAAAACATGTCAGAAAAAAAAATCTTCTCCCCTCTTTACCAGTTCCCTTACAAAAGCACTCCTGAGTGACTGAGGCCAAATCTAAAATATTCTGACTCTTCCTGGGAGTTTTGGCCAATGTGCTTAAAAATCATGGCACTGTGAGCCCCTGGAAAAGATGCCTGTCTTCTTTCAGAGCAACCTCTGAATTGGTTTGGTGCCTCTAAAGAGGCTCCATGCTGGACCGAGAGGCTGGAGGCTTTTTAGGCTGGAGCTTGAGCTGGTAGGCTGATAAACTTTGGACTCACAAAAGTTAGATAACAGGGTTAGATAAGCAGGTTTATGGTTCCTAGGGAAGACGGGTGGATAGGAATCCCAGCACAGGGCAAAGTACAGCAGTGGAGCTCCCCCAGTCCCCAGGACCTAGAGAAGGGGGATCCCAGCATTAACCATAGCCTGACACTTTTTTGAAGGATTTATGGTGTTGGAGCTTTTCAAAATATCAGGAAAATGTCCCAGCTGTCAAAAAATCCCATCTATCAAACCTTTCCAAGCCTTCCTCTGCCCTGGGGGTGAGGGAAGGAGGGGTGTCACAGCTCCTTCAGGCTGATCCCCACAAGCCCTGTTTCACTTTGTGAGAAGCTGGGTGCCTTGGAGGTTAAACGTTGCCTCACACAAGCCCCAGCAGCTCAGGAGGGTTCAGCCTCCATCTGGACATCTGTCATGCAAAGCACAGCAAGGCCCTGCCTGTGGCAGGGCCCTTTAGGCTGGAGTGGAAAGGGTTTGCCTCCCATTTTTGTGGCTGGGAGAGGCCACAGTAGCCCCCAGCAGCTGTTTCATGCCAGGTAGGTGTAGGGTCAAGCCACCAGCTACCAAGAGTGAGAGTGACTACCTCTTTTGTGGGACTTGACCAAAAACGTTGAGTTCAAGATTAAGCTCAGCTGGGGCGGTGAAAGCCAAAACAGTTTCAGTGTCTAAAGAGCATCCTCAGAAAAGTCTAGTTCAGATCTGCTTTTGCAACATCCTGGGCTGACTAGGAGACCCACAGAAAGGGGCAGAGTTGTGGGATGCCACCTCCCTGGCTTCAGGCTGCTTTTAGAGACCAGCTTAGCTGAGATGCTCTGTTTTCAGTATGACTGCTTTAATTTAAAATGGGGAGGGTCCAAAGCTAAAACAATAAGCAACAAAGTTGGTACTAAACCATGGATTGCTTGAGTCCATATTTGTGTTGAGAATGACAGAAAAGAAACAGAGCAGCAGGTAGATAAGGATGGGAGTGTGAGTCCCACCAGTGCTTTACTCACCAGAGGAATCTGCGACCTTAGTGGACAAAGAGCAATTGAAAAGGAAATTACACATTGCTCTCCCACCTTCTCGCATTTTTCTTACCAAAGTATGTAAAATTAATCAAAGGGAGGCACACTGCGATCCAGCATATCAGAGACTCAGACTTGTGTGTCTGTTGGAGTTTTTTTCTTCAAACACACTGAGATGAGGCTCTTCATCCCTCTAGGAAAAAACCCTTTGGTGGAACAGAAGTGTTTGGGAATAGACATCTCTATTTTCAGCTTTCAACAAACAAACCAAGGAAGAATATGTAACTTCCCCTAGATCATGGGGTTTTTTTCTGACTTTCTTTTTTAAGGGTCATGCATACATTTTCTGCTATTACTTTTTATCTAACATCTGTAAGTCCTTTCAGAGTCCAACCCACAGGAGTTCACCATCTTGGGGTGGAAAAGAGTCGGGGGAAGCAGTCTTCTTGCCAAACGGCCGCTCTGGATGCTGCTGACCTTCACCAGCTATGTAAAGTACATTTCCTTCCTATGCCAAAGGATCAAATCAGCTGTCTGCAGAACAATGCTTGTGCAGACAACGTGGAAAAGGCTGCTGAAGCCCTTCGCACAGGGAACCATCGCGCTGGGCTTGGCCTCCTTCCAGGCTCCTCATGCATGAGCAGACACTTTGATGGCAAGCGCCTTCGAAGGGGGATCAGAGCCAAGCAATTCAAAGGCATTTTGGTGTTGAATTCGCAACGCTTTCAGTGAACGCTAGGCAGCAAAATACCTTTGAAGTTTCATGCTCAGATTTATTCTTTCTGTGAGATTTGGGCTAGAGCTATTCCCAAGTGAGCAGATGATTAACTTGAACTTTCTACTAGACTGGAGATGTAATACTACACTGACTTGCAGACCCTTCTGCTGCGATTAGATATGGTCCTGCACTTTTATAGTTCCTGTGACTTTTACAGCCCATGCCTATTAAGAAATTAAGGGGTCCACGATTGCTGTTGTAGCACAGGACCAAAATCTACATGCCAATTTGAATCAACTTATTCTAAACTCTATCCCCTGAGGAAAAAAATAAAAAAAACATTCCTCATTTATTCTGTTTTTGTCCCTGTGGGCAAGGCTTACACACTGCATTTACTCATGCAAAATAATGCTGACAGCTTGTAACTCAGCCCCACTCCACGTGGCAATCGCAGCTGCCCGTGGGGCGGAGGGAGGCGGTGATTTGGGGAGAAGCAGCCCCTAGTGGTGTTCCCAGGTTTCGGCTCTACCTCAGTGGGAGTGCTGGGCACATCATCACAGCCTTGTGCTGGGGCGGCACAGCCCTCCAGGGCCGGCAGGCTGGGGCAAAGCACTGCCTGCCGGGGTAAACAGGGAAGTCGCAAATGAGAGCAGGGAGGGGATCATCTGTCTTTATTTTTTCCTGCCACGTTGGGCTCTGGACTCATATTGCAGAGAGATGGAGC